GCACTCTTTTCCTTCGATCGGGTTTATATCCCAAAAAGGGTTTTACCGGCAAGGTTTTAATAAGGCAACACCTACATGCTACCTAAGGAATATCCAACAAGTATTCAAGGCTTCTTTTGCAACCAACCTCAAATACTGGGGGCCATGCCCCCGGAAGGTCACCTACTCGGAGAAGCCAAGATACGCCAAACGGGGGGCTCAATAGAAAAGTAATGTACCGGGACAAACGGTCGAATGAACCGTGTCCGCATAGAACAACCGATCCGCAACAACAAAAACATGTATACTTGTACCAAGTGATCAAAGAATAATTCCCAAAAGCATTTTGCATTTCAAGGAAGCTCGACATTTTTGCAAAAAATGGCCCCCAAAGCCGAAAGACGCCCCGAACACTTGGGGACTGACGTCAACTACTTTAAACAATGCGACGTCCGGGTCGGAGCTCCTAACTTATAAGCCCTCGATGAGGCAACATCAAGATCACAAAGTGGCTCCAGAGCCAAAAACGTCTCGAACACTCAGGGACTGGCATTAAATACTTAAGACCACATGACCTCCGGGTCGGGAACTCCGAAATCGTAAGCCCTCAATGAGGCAATACCGAGTCTACAAGTAATGGCTCCAGAGCCAACAAAACCCTCGATGACTCAGGGACTGTCGTCAATCGCCATCTCCATCGACTTACCAAAACTCAAGGTAGTAAGGCTATATGCGGGCAGCCTCGGTCTCGTAAGACCTACATAAGGCAACAACAACATCTGTAAGACTTCGAGCAAGGCATGAACAATGTAAGACTTCGAGCAAGGCATGAACAATGTCGACAACTGTAACTCAACATCTCTTTTTGTGGAGCTTTGGACTCAACAACTTGTCCAGAGTTTGTTCGAGTCATACGACATTGTCGGGTTGTTGTATCCTGGAGGGGACAAGTCAAGAGTACTACTGTTGGACCGGTGAAGATGCTACGCAGTGGGCTTGAATCTCCTTAAAGAGAGCGAGATATCCGCGCCTCAACCCGAAGAATATTTATTTATTTTTCTTCATCTTATTTTTCAACTGTAATTACTTGTAATATCACCAACATATTATAGCATTGCAAATATTCAATTCAGATGCAGCTTTTATGTAATTTCATGATAATTGAAATGAAGAATTGACACAGTGAAGCAAATCAATTGGCAGGCAAGAGGAACGATATTCCTGTTCTTCTCATCACCATGAGGTAATGGAACGTTCGTAGTAATTTTAGCAATCCAGTTATGATTGAGAAAACCTCGTGCAGCGTATAGTAAATATAGCATTAGAAATTTCAAGCTGGTTCATAGTGAACAAGTCAACTGAAAGGCAGAGGAAGAGTAAGTTCCTTCTTTCAGAAACCAGATGGAAGGAGGAAAAGTAAATCAGAAAACAGCAAAAAGAAGAAGATAGCTGAGGCCTCACGGATGCAGATATCATGCCCTGCAATATAATTTAGTATAAGCTACATGAGGTTTTCCTTTCAATAATCAAGTTCTAGTATGGCAGTCAAATTAACGTGATGATTCTAGTAAAATAAACGATATATTCACAATGGCTTTATGCAGCTTGGAAACAGCATCTTCAACTGAGAATTTACAATCCTTCAGGAACCATAAAATCATCTCTTCCATTTATTCCCACCGGGAGATCTGTATATTCCCTTTCAAGTCTCTCCATTACATCCAGCACTAACGAGATGAATGGAGTGAACAGAGTTTCCAGCATTTAACTAAGAGTTTTCAACGAAAAGAGGCTACTTATCCTATCACATTCAGTAGATCATTTCCCTAATCTCATTGAATTAGCAATAGGTATCTCATAATGTTTCATGGAATCGCTTATTCATTTGAGAACATTTCTATCGCTTGTCCCAAAGTCTGATACACATTCAGAACCTTGCGGATAATTACTCCAAAACCATAGTATATCAAATGCTTTCAAAGACGTTAGACAACTGAAAATCATTACAGAGAAATTTTAGAGCCTAAGAGGCTGAGAATAAGATGAACAATGAAGGTCGAGAAACTTAAGCTTGTTGAAGAGCTCTGATCACGCCCAACTATGCCTTATAAAAGGACAATGCGGACGTTGCAAATATAACCCGAGTATTACGCCCAGGGTCGAATCCACAGAGAGTTAACCTATCAATTACTATCTTTAGACCCACTAAACTCTTCAGAACTAGCTTCCCAAATGTTTGAATCACAAGTTGATGGTTTCTATAGTAACTAAAATTGCAAGTAAATTAAACAGTTGTAAACTAAAATGCTAAGGTTGTAAACAATGGTGAGAAAAAGCTAAGGTAAAGATTTCCCCTATTGATGGAATCTCTTCTGTTTATGCGTCATACAAATTTACCAACACACCTCTATCAATCATGAACACTTTTCTTACCGTAAATCTCTCCCGAGTAATCACAGTCATATACTATTGCACTCTCCCGAGATACACTAGCTAGCTTTAATTAACACAGTTCACTTAAGATTGCACCCAAGGCTTCGTTATCCCTAATCCCGCCTTTAAACCCGCAGTTATAGATTCCTCTTATACTTTAGGAGTGGTGTTATTCAACAATAACCTAAATATGCACTCTCTCCCGAGTTATGCACACTAAATAGGCACAGCTAATTGAGGATCCTGTCAATTAACTACAACAAGAACATAGTTGAATAAATAAAGATTGAAACTAGCAATTTGTATTCACATAAACAAGAAGTTCATCCCCCAATAGGTTCCATCAAAACCTTAGACAAAAGATTTAGCTACTCATAACTATGGGTAAA